GAGAGAGAGAGAGAGAGAGAGAGAGAGAGAGAGAGAGAGAGAGAGAGAGAGAGAGAGAGAGAGAGAGAGAGTGACCTGCTTCTGGCTGGTTCGTCGGCGAGGGCTGGACGTGGATGGCTGCGGGGCTGCAGGGGGGACGTTGATGGCGGCTTCCTCGTGGATGGCTGCGGGGCTGCAGGGGGGACGTGGATGACGGCTTCCTCGTGGATGGCTCCGGGGCTGCAGGGGGGACGTGACGGGCAGCAGACAGCGCGCCCGCGAAATTCAAAAACGGCCAGTTTGAAAGTGCTGGCCCTGCCCCACGCCTCCCCCCAGTTTGAGTCTGCACAGACTGTGGTGGGTCCGGCCTTCGACCAATGTCCGGTAGGGTGAAAAGACACACAAAAATCGGCCCAGTATTTTTCCGGGGCCGCCGAGGACCCGAATAATGTCCTTGGCGGCCCCTTTTTTTTTCTGATTTTTTTGTTGGGGGGCCCGGTTCCGGAAATGCAGGACCGGACACCGGACCCCTACATAATGTTTGSGGGTGTCCGGAAACCGGTCCGGACGTCCGGTCGGTTACCATGGTTTTGAGCTTCCGCTGTGCATATCTTCTCTCCGGTTTTGTGTGGATTTGCCTCCTTCGAGTCTACTCTGCAATTGCATGCGTGCATGGGAACGTGTGAATTCGTTGTGGATTGAAGTTCAATCGGGTACATAACACTTCACTTCATTGCCTAAATGGGAATTGCTAGTCTTTTCTGAATGATTTGATTGTTTTCTGGATTAGTATTCACAAATAAATTAGAATAATAGTATATACTATATGGCCATTTGATGATTTGAACGAATTATATACTCAATGAAATTACAAGCTTTTCGTGAATAAAGAAGTGTTCTTTCTAAATCAACAATAGCGATGTCATTTCTAAATCCTCCTTTCCTGATGCAACTAAACTCCCCTTGAGGAAGGGCGGTGACAACGGCCGAAACGAGGCGTCTGGGACGCCCTGTGACTGCCTGTGGTACGATGCTTTGGTTCTTTCGGCGGTCTATTTGCGGGGTTGACGTGAGTTGTTGCATTACTTTTCCCGTCAATTTTGGGACTTCTGTACGGAAATTCTTTCTTCATGTGTACGTGTCCTGTCTCAAGTCAACCCCTGTGTATGTGTGCATGCTATGTGTACGGGTCTTGTCGCATGTCTGTATGCATGATTGGAGATGTCCACGAATGCGTGGATGCGATGTGGCCGGACCACCTGCCACGAGCTTATGACTAACTTATGACTGTTTTCGTAATCTGTACGGATATGGCTGAAAGTCTGCTTTCCACGTATAAAGAGTTTGAAAGATACAACTTCGCTTCTACTGCCCCCCTACCGTGCAATCTTTGTGCTTTGCTGATCCGGAAACCGGCAACGTTGCAGTTATTAACTTATTACTAGTTATTAGGCTTTTCTGATGTGCCACCATCGGATTCGATTGGAATTCGAACTCAGGTCCGTTACGCAGCACATTACCATGGTGGGGTGGAGGACAGAAACCAAAGGGCCTACTCAGCTCAGTTGAGACACCCATGGACTGTTGAAATACAGACCTGAGTTTGAACGCTGGAAGTGGACAAGTAAAGTGGAGGACAGGATTAGGCAAACACGAAAACAAACTGTCATGATCCACAAAAAAAACACACGAATCAGAACTGAGGAGCATAGAGTGAAGAAGACCACAACTGTGTTTTGCAAATTGGCACTGAATTCTAGTATTTACGTTCAACCACTGCATGTCTTTTAGTCACACTTTCTGTGACTCCGGCTGACCAGATCAGTAGGCCCAACAGAGGTGAAAAATGATAAGGTCAGTTTAGCCGCCTATTGGCCATGGACCTGGTGTAACTTACATATCTGTTCAGACCAAGGATAAGCCATGGTGCGTTATAGAAAAGAAAGCTGTGACCAAAGTTGGACAACCCTCGTATACATCATCAGGTGCCCACATATGAAAAGGAACTGCAGTTATTTTCCATTAAAAAAGAAACTACAGCTTTTGTTTTGCCATAGAAGTTTTATCTTGTTGTGAACTGTTGAATTCATTCCCAGACATTTGCCTGAAACCATCACACCGTCGCCAGATTGGTTGAATTTTGAAACCACCAAGATTGAGAAAGAAGCATTGTGAAGAGTGCAGCCAGAACGTTTGCAGCCTCTTTTTTTCAAAACCCCTCCACAAACACACACCATAATTTGGAGGCTTGGTCCAACGCTGACCATTTTGTCCTTGCATGGAATGCTTTATGTCGATGACAGCTGATGTTTACATGCGTCCCCCCCCTTCCGCGTTTCCTCCCTCCTCCCTCCTCCCTCCTCCCGCCTCCGGCATCCTCCCCCCTCCCCGCTTCCCAATTTCATATTTGAAACTCGATGTGTAAGTCTGTTGTTCCTCAGAAATATGAACATAGATGCGTACAGTCCTGCCTCAGAACCTGTGCTCTCCTTGTACAGCTGGGCAGAGCAGTGGGCATGCATGGAAATCACTCTCTCATAGCTCTTCCCTTGTCTACTGTATGTTGTGGCAGTTATGGACGAACTGAAGAGCTGGTGCACTTTGCAAGCCTCAAAGAGCACCATGAGACAGTCATTCAACATTACATCCAGGTAGTGCACCTCTTCCCTCCTTCCTCTACCCCGCCTCCCTTATTCCTCTGTCATCTAATTGCCAGTTTCTCCTCCTATCGCCTTCACCCGAATCCTATCTTACCGATTCTTACGCTCATTATTGCTGTATCTAGACTCAAAGTTGGCCCAAATACAGCTATAATGACCGTACGTTGTATATGGCTGGAGATGGTCGTTGTCGTCCTCCTAAGAAGCTTCCAAATCCTATCCTCGTCCTCCTCATCTTCATCTTCCTTGTTCCCTTTCCTCCTTCGTTCTGGTCACCGCTGTCCCTCACCTTAGTTGTGTTTCAGAATGCCACCATCGTCCCCCGAATAGAACGTACGGGCATTATCCTTGTATCTAGACTGAAAGTTGCTCCAAATGCAGCTACAATGACCGTATGATGTACGTTCTAAGACGGTGCCTCATAATCCTTCTTTTGCTCGTTCACCTCCCAGCCGGCTTTCCCATCGTGTCCTTGTCTCCACCTCTCCTCACCCCCGTCCTTCTCCTCTTCTCCTGCACCGCTATTCATCGCAGGTATTGCCTTGCTTTGGTATCCTCTGCTGTTTCCTTCATCCCTTCCACCCTATCTTTCTTTCTTTCTTTCTTTCTTTCTTCTTTTTTTTTTTTTTTGTAATAATGATGTGGACCATTTCTCGGTTTTTATGCTTGTCATCCTTGCGCAGGGGCTGTGCTAATCAATGTTCTCTGTGTCGTTCCAATTTGAATGGACGTCCAGAAGGACCCCTCCAGCCTGTCTTTGTCGTTGTCATGCGCACTTTTGCCTCCGTCGTCATTGTTCTGGCCTCGTTATCACCATCCTCGCCGTCCTCCTTTTCCATGCCCTACGTTGTTTCTTTCACCTCATGGTCGTGCTCACCGTACTCTCCTCCTGACTTTGTTTCGTTATACTCTGCATTCTCATCCTGCTCCTGCCAATCGCTCTCTTCTGCTTCCCAGTCTGCAGCACTGGCTCGATTCTCGTTCTCCTCCCTGCCTGCCGCCAACTTTGCATAATCCAGCTATGCTTCCCTCCTCATGGGGGGCCTGGGGGTGGGTGAAGGGAGGGGGGAGGAAGGGGTTTGTTTCCATGGAGGGATATTTATTATTTATGTTTATGAGCAAGTTTACGTTCTCGCCTTTCCTCCCTCATGGTGGTGAATTGAGAAGGGCAATGTCGAAAAGGGCTCTCCTTGTCTTGTCTGTTGCATGCTGGCCTCAGAGTTTCTCAATCCGTCCTCGTTGTTTCTCTACTTGCCATGCCGTCAGAGGTCAGGGTTGTTTGCAAAAGGGACAGTTATGTTTATGAGCAAGTTTCACTTCTCCCCTTTTCTTCCCCCATGTAATGAATTGATAAGGGTAAGGCTGGCGGGGGGGTGCTTGATGTTCTCCCCTTTTCTGCCCCCATGGTCATGAATTGATAAGGGTGATGTTGGAGGGGGTTGTTTGCAAAAAAAAAGGGTTGTTTTCATGTTTATGTTTATGAGCAAGTTTACCTTCTCCCCTTTTCGTCCCTCATGATGGTGAATCGAAAAGGGGGAGGTCGTAAGGGGTTCTCCTCACCTTGTCTGTTGCATGACGGCCTCGTAATTGTTCAACGATTCCCTGTTTTTGCTCTGCTTGCAATGCCATCAGAGGGCAGAGGCGAAGAAGGCCTTGGCGGTGTTACGGAAGCCGAGTGTCTCCCCCGAACTTCAGGTCAGTACCAGAACCCTGCTATGGGCCCCACAGTATTCTACCTGCTTTAATCGTTCATCTTCTCGTACGGCTTTGTGTCCTCGACCCTATTCATATCGCTAACCTCTTCTCATATCTCTCTTCCTCCCACCTCATGGTCGTCCGTTTATGCTTTCCTTAATCGCCTTATGCTGCCATTGGCATGGTTGCTGGCGAAGAGAGGAGAGGGGGAGGGAGGTGCGGGTGCTCTGGCCCTTACTAGGCTGTACGGTTGTCGGAAGAAACTGCCAGAGCATTACTGTCGTCTTTTTCGCACCCTTGCTCTTGGCCTGCTGCAAGTCACTGCATTTTGCTCATGGCCTATTTTGCTGAGTGAGGACGCCGCCCGGCCGGGCTTGCCCTGCCGGGCTGGGCCCAGCCGGTTGGGCCCGGGGGGGCCGCCCAGGTAAACCGGGCAGGACAAAAAAACGCCCAGATTTTTTTTTTTTTTTTT